AGCCTTGTGGGCTGCCTCCGCAAGAAATTGGGGTCAGCAACATCACGTGTGAGACTGATTCAGGTCACTGTATGCTGTCGCTGCTGTGTCGTGCTCCGCGCCAGTGTGTGCCTCTGGCGCGTGCGGCTCTGGCGCATGTCCTGGTGCGTCTGTGTTCACACGAGTCTCGGGTGTGCCCTGGGCTTGCTGCAGTCACATCGTTCACACAAGTTTCACACTCCCACCTGAAAGGGACCGTTTCCTTTGCTAGACGTCTTCACTGCCTCTTGATACCTGATACCTTATTTTGATTGTCATTTATATATACTTCGTGATTGCTAAAGCAGCTGATAAGTTTTTCATCTACTTACTGGCCTTTTAGATTTCCTCTTTTGTGAGTGTCTTAAGTCTCATGTACATTTTTTTAAAATTTATTTATTTTGAGAGAGAGCGTGCAGTGGTGGAGGGAGAGAGAGAAAATGAGAATCCCCAGTGGGCTCCACCCTGTCCGCACAGAGCCCAAGGTGGGGCTCGATCCCATGAACCTTGAGATCACAACCTGAGCCAAAATCAAGAATCAGATGCTTAATTGATTGAGCCTCCGAGGTGCCTCTCGTGTCCATTTTCGTACTGGATGGTTTGCCTTTTTCTTAGTGATTAGTAGGAGTTTTTAAAGTGTCAGAATTTTCAGATCTTCCGTTTATGCTTCTGGTTGAAAGGTCTTTCTTTACCTTGAAGTAGCAGTGACGGGGCTTCTGTACCACTGTCCAGTAGCTTCGTGCCTTTGCCTTTGACATTTGGATCTGTAATGTGTCTAGAGGTGATCTCTGCATGGTGTAAGTTGGGGATCGTCACATTTTTCCATACAGATGTCCAGCTGTCCCTGACCAGTGTTGGACAAAGCTGTCTTTCACTCCTGTCCTGCCGCCTGGTGCCTCCATGGTCCCAAGTCCACATCGGCTGCTGGCACAAGCCTGTTCCCGGCTCTGCCGTGGCGGCCAGCACTTTGTCTACACGGTGCTACTTTGACACTGTCTCTCCGCTTTTTGGCTTTGACTTTATTTAATTTTGTTTTTTCATATGTATTGATGTAATCTGAGGTTCTTTCCTTTTGATTTTAAGTTAGTTGCATGAGTTCTGTCTTTCTTTTGAGACCATCTCTACTTTTTTGTTTAGGACAGTTTGGGCTTCTGCTCAGTAGCGGTTCTGTGGCTACACGTAGCCTCTCCCTCCTGATTTGGGTTTGTCCCTTGGCGGCAGGTCTGTTCTCCAGGCGTCCCCGGCCTTGTGCTTCTTCAGAGCCGCTCAGCCTTATTGGGCTGATTCCCTTACAACAGTCAGTGAGGAACCCACACAACTTTGTGGGGTATAGCTCTCAAATTATTATATTAACATGTTGTCTTTAAAAGTATAACTGAAGGGAGCCTGGGTGGCTCAGTCGGTTAAGCGCCCGACTTCAGCTCGGGTCATGATCTCACGGTTCAAGGGTTCAAGCCCCGCGTCAGGCTCTGTGCTGACAGCTCAGAGGCTGGAGCTGCTTCAGATTCTGTGTCTCCCTCTCTCTCTGACCCTCCCCTGCTCAGGCTGTCTCTATCTCTCTCTCAAAAATAAATAAAACATTTAAAAATTTTTAAAAAGTAACCTTTTAAAGCCACCACCAATCTCATTAAAATGTCTTTGAGCACTAGGATGCCGTCGGGCTCATGGACGTGGGTACACGCTTTCCTGAGCTCCAGTTTCTCTTGGAAGCTGTTAGTTCTCCTTGAAGGGAAGCTCCAGGTGGTTGACTTTTGAGAAGGTGACTGCCCCGATACCAGTTCTTGATGATGATAAATATTTTTTGTCCGAGAGTATTTCTGGTGAAGTCTGTGTCCCATGAAATCACGGGTGAGCCCCCCGGCTCAGCCGGCTGCCCCCAGCGGCTCTGCCGGGGCCAGTGCTGTGCTGCAGGCCCCCCGGAGTCCTGTCCGAGTCTGCAGGGGGACTCAGGTTTGCCCCTCAGTAAGATTTTACGTTCCAGAGCCCGTGGTGTGGGCACAGTGCCTGCATTTCAGGGAACCGGCCAGGGTCTCTTCAGGGGAGTCACCCAGCTCCAGAAGCTCCCGAGTGCTTTCCTGAGTGGTCTCCGTGACGCCGCCCACCCCACCCCACCCCCACCCCCGCCCCCGCCTACAAAGCCAGAGCAGCTGCCTTTCAGTTTGGGGGTGCGGGAAACGCCTGCGTCCAGCAGCCTGTGCAGTCTGCGTGGGTCTCCGAGTGCTGTGGGATGCTGGTTCTCGGGTGGACAGAGCACCCCTGTGTTCAGACAGGCATCTCCTGACACTGGCAGTTGTGGTGTGTCTGGATGAGGGCAGCCAGGTTGCCTCCGGGTCTGAGATTTGATGGCCACCCATTCATTGATTGATTGGTTAGAAAGCCCCAGAGCCCAGGTTGAGGTAGCCTTGTAACTTGTTAGAAGGGAGGACACTCACCCCCCCCAACCCCCGTCACAAAGATTGTTACCACCATGACAGCCTCTTCTTGGGTTGAGTAGTGAATGCCCAGCGGTGAACAGGGAAGCCTGTGGCATCATGGCGGCCTCTACCCTCAGAGAGGATCCACAGAAGAAGAGGCGAACTGAGCAGGCGTGAGGCTCTGCCTGGCTTAGGAGAAGTTGTCAATGGTGACAAGAGTCACTGTGGTCTCACAGTGACCATTTCCCGAGGTCGAGGGAGAGGCTGACTGGACGCAGGACCGTGGGACGGTGCAGAGACCAGACAGCCCAGGGGAGGATTGGGATGACCAGGTAGATGGAAGAAGACAAAAGGTGTGTTTGAGATGATTAGCTACCTTGTCATCGAAATAATAGGGAGGACTTGGGTCCCCTTGGCTCACCAGGTTCCACGTGGCTCCAGCTGTCCCAGAAAATGAGCCGGAATGCATTGGTGGCAAATCTGAGCCCTGGAGCTGACAGCCCTTGTGAACCCATGAGAGCCCCTAAAGAAATGAATCTAGTTTGCTGGGCTCCCAGGCCGAGGAAACTGCCCATCATGCCGGTCCGCATGCTCCTGACAAACTTGGAATATTGAGGTGGTTGTAACCATGGCAGTGAGGTGGCCAAGGTGGTCTTGGCTGTCACCGTGCACAGCATCTTATGGAGGAGAAACACAGTATTGGGGATGACACTCCTAACCTGCCAGCTAGGGGTGGTGTTCCCAGCCCTTGGGGGAGAGGTAGGGTGGTGCCCCGAGGACAGCGGCCTTCAGGAGAAAGTGAGGCCCACTGCTGGGCACAGGACACTGCGTGCTTGGCAAGCGGCTGTCATGAAATGTCCCTTGGGCCATCCTGCTGAGGTTTGGGCCTGCAATCACTCTGCGACAGATTGCATGGAATTAGCTGAATGCTTAAAAATGAAATGTGAAATTAATAAAGAGAAATCTCATTTACAATGGAGTTGGGAGGCGAGCGGGCGGAGCTCCCCCGCCCAGCACTGCTTGTCCCAGACCCAACAGGCAGGTTAGCTTTCAGCACACGGGGAGCCGGACAAACCAGGGAGGGGAGCTGTCACTCACCGACTGCATTTCAGAAGCCACACTTCATACATAGTCAAGGCCATTAATTCCAGGTGAGTTAGTTACACAAAATACTAATCCAAAATGGCAAAGCACAGGGGTGTGTCACTGAGGAAAGAGGAGATAAAACAATGCACACAGTTTGTTTAAAATGTTTTCCAGGGGCGCCTGGGTAGCTCAGGCAGTTGAGCATCTGAGTCGGTTTTGGCTCAGGTCATGATCTCACAGTTTCCAGGGTTCAGGCTCCCCGTCGGGCTCTGCGCTGGCAGTGTGCAGTCTCTTTGGGACTCTCTCTCTACCCCTCCCCCGCTCGTGCTGTCTCTCTCTCTCTCAAAATAAATACATAAACTTAAGAAAATAATAAAATGTTTTCTAACTCTGATGATGAAAATGTGAAAAGTATAAAAAGAAAGGCATTGGCTTTTGGGAAGATGGAGTTGGTGCCGGGAACAAACAGAAAGCCCAGAAGGGATGGAAGAGGCCGTGGTCTGGTCAGGGCGTACTGACATGGGCAGACACTGAAAGGAAGTTGACTGTACTCTCAGGCCCCACAGGGAGTCCTCACCACCGGGGCCCTGGGGAAGGGACCAGGACGGCCAGGAGGCAGAAGACCGGAGCAAGGAGGTCTTTGCCAGAGCCTCGGCTGGAGGTTCTGACACGGTGGACGGCAGACGGCTCAAGACCGGCTGGTTTGAATAACGCTGTGGGCTGGCCTCTCGCTGCCTGGCGGCGCGTGCTTGATAAGGGGTGGCTGGTTGGCCTGTGTGGGAGAGGCTTGCTGCCTCTAAGAAAAGGCCAGCTCAGGGAGGGACAGCCTCCACCCGCGTAGCAAGGCGGGGTGGTGGGGGCTTTTTTCTTTTAACAGGTCAAAACATCAAAATACAGAAAATAAAAAGCCATGATTAACATAGTGTGTGTCCTGGGACGTCTTGCGAAATGCAAGGGCTGGCACAGTGGGCACAGATCTGGGCACCAAAACCTTCTGGACATCCGGGGAACCATGAGGACTCCCTCAGAGGCCTCACATGACTGCCTTCTGCTCATTTTACTTGGGAGAAGTTGGAGAATTGGGTCTGTGTGGTGCTTTCTGAAAAGTGAAAAGATTCTTGTCCTGACCTTCTGTCTGGGGCTGTGTAAGAAGGGGGCCGCTTTCCCCAAGGGTGAGTGGGGTCGAGACCATGACTTAGAGGGTGGTGGATGTGACGTACTGCACTTGGGACACGACCTTGCCCGTGGGGCAGGTGAAGGGCCCCCAGAAGAACAGGGTCAAGCTCTACATCGTGGAGTACCCCACTGCTCCCTGGGCGGTGAGTCCCGAGGTCCCCTCCCAGCCACCTGTCCCAGCATGGAGCACAGCTGCATCGGAGCAGCGGGTGACATTCAGTCCCTTCTGGGGCACAAATCTGAGATTGCCTGGGCCTTGTCTGCACTAATCCTGATTGACCCTCTGCGTTCTCTCTTTTGAAACAGACGGTTGATGACGAAGCGATGGCAGTATAAATGAAGATCAGGTGAGGGGAGAAGAACGATGCCCAAGGGTGGGTGTTCTAGAACACCACAGCACGAAGACTTTTCCCTCAGCAACGACATGGTGGAGAAACAAACAGGGAAAAAGGTAACACATGCCCTCCTCCTCGCTGGCCCCCAGCATTGGACCCTCGCCCGCTCTGGCCGGCTGGCTGTCCGTCCCTTTTCCTTCTGCAGCCGTGGTGAGACAGGGACGGTCTGCTCTTTCCAAAGAGGACCTTTATCTTAAGGATGTGCTCATTAATCGGGGACCGCAGTTAAGCTTTAAATTTTATGTTTATGTACACATTGCTGAGATAATGTCGTTTGGCCTCATTTTATGGGCTCTCGGAGCCACAGATGTCTGTCGTGGCTTCGTTGAGACCAAACCTGTCATTTAGCCACATTTGCCTTGTCCCAAGCAGAAACGCTGTGGGGTATGTACTTTTACTTGGGCTTGTTCTCCGTGTGAATAGGGAAAGGCAGGGTAACCCTAAATCCCCGTCTTCGAAGACTGCTGTCAACTCTGGGCTCCAGGTGCCCCTGTCCCACAGCCTGGGGTGCCACTTGTGAGTGTGGACTTGGAGTCAGACGGAAGCAGGTGCAGGCCCTGCCGTGTGCTCTGTTTGTGACTGTGAGCACGCCTGCAGTCAGAGCAGCTTATACTATTGCAGGGGAGGGGAGGGCCGTGCGGACTTGCCCGTGGGTTGGCACTGCCCTCTTCACCACCTTTGATTTCGATGTGTTCGTGTCTCCCTTGATGCCCACATGGCAGGCCAGCTACGCTGTGGCCTGTGTGACTCTCGTCCCCACTGCTGGTCTTCCAAGCTGCCTCCTTGTCCCTTCTGTCCCAGCACTTGGGTCTGAGTGGGAATTCTCTGCAGGGCACCTGCTGTGTCCGGCGGCACCTGAGTGGGCGGGGTGTGAGGTTAGCACGTTTTCCACATGAGGAAGTGAGTGAGCAGAGCCGTGCGCTTCATTTGGCTTAGGTGAAGCGGGGATCAGGTTGTGAACGTAAGCGTGCTCAGGTGCTCATCAGAATGGCTAGGACTCTGAGGCTCTGGTGTCTGGGCATTCGTGGCTGCACGTTGTCCCACTTGCCCTGTCTCCCAGCACCCAGTGCAGTAATGGGCAGGAGCCAGCACGTGGAGCTGCAGGCAGGCTGAGGCGTGAGCTCGGCCTGAGCTTGCACTGGGGAGGAGGCGTGCCTGGGAGGCCTGTGGAGGGCCTGGGAGCAGCTCGTGATGGGCGTTTGGTGATGGGCATGTGCTGGTGTGCGGAGCTGGGGCCACTGGGGACAGATGTGCCCCGGGGGAGCTTACTAGCTCCCACTCTGGGACACTTTCACCCTGAATGGCCAGACCATCCTTGGTCCTCGTGGTTCCCAGGTCCGTGTGTGGACCGCGTGGTCACAGGACAAAAGGCCCCACGCAGCCCTACCCGGGCTGGTTCCCCCAAGCAGGTTGCAACAGGAGCTTCCGACTGTGTGTGCGCCGGCCCAGTTCTCTGTGCGCATGGCCTGCCCAGGACCTGTCCACCAAGTGGACCTCCACCTGGTGTCCACCAAGGAGGCACCAGGAAAGGCATCCAGGGCTCAGCACCTGCCTTGGAGGGGTGGCTGTGTGAGCCCTGTGCGCTCCGGGCTGCTGCTAACGCAGGCCTTGCTCTAGGCTGCCCGTGACTTGCTCTCTCACTCGAGAACGCTCGCTGTGGTGCAGGAGCGGTGCCTGCACGGGACACGTGTGAGTTTGGCTTTGTGGACACGTGTGAGTTTGGCTTTTGTTGTTGTTGTTGTTGTTGTATTGTTTTGTTTTTACCCCATACCAGCCAAGATCAATTCTTTCTTGGCCCCTGTGCTGATCCCTGGTTTGCTAGCGAGGGAAGCCGGCAAAGGCAAGTGAGCGCCCTGCTGCAGCCCAGCTGCCCGGCAAGCTCCTGGAGCCACATCTGCCCTGAGAGCCTCTCTGTGTCGCTCGGGGTGAGCCCCGACCCACTCTGGTCACACGACATTTGTTTTCCCTGCACAGCTAGTGAGGTGAGAAGCTGGGATTCAAAGACTGTCGACCTCTCTAGTGAAATATGTCATGTCTTACAGTCTTTAAGACTGTAAAACCTGGGCTGAATCCCCACCCAGAGGAGAATATGCAGTACTGCCCCGGTCCTGGGAGGCCCCCGACATCCGTCTGTCACCGTGGAGGGGTCTCCCCCGCTGGGGTTCGGAAGAGGGACGGGCCCTTCACCAGTACGTCCGATGCAGAGGCCCTTCCCCGTAGCAACGCCTCCCTGGCCTGCCGCACGGCCGCTCCCGCCGGGCCACCGCGGGTGAGGACATGAGCGCGCACGCTGGTAGCCATGGGTTAGTCGTTGGTCAAGGTGATGGCCCCAGTCCTCGCCGCAGACACTGGGTAAGTTGAGGCGGCCCCTGTCCCTGTCACACGGCTGGTAGGGCTCACCTGCAGTCACCCGGGGGCGGGTGGCACCCTGCCGTCTCGTCTGTGCTCCTGTGAGGGTGCTCTCCTGTGTCCTCAGGCTGCGGTTCACGTGGGATCAGGGTTTGCCGCTCAAGGTGAGGGCGGCGTTCATTTTCTTCCCTGTGGGTGTTCACGGGGTCACCATCACTTACTGAAAAGGGTCCCTCCCTTGCTGCTGTCCCTGGCACGTGGGCTCCAGCCTCTGCCCTGCCTTCTGAACCCCTGGCCCTTGGCCCACGACCCCGTCCAGTGACTCCTGGTGGTTTACAGTCTGCTTGTCTGCGGTTCAGTTGACTGTGTTGTTGTCCAGAATTGTCTTTGCTAATTTTGACCCTTTGCATTTCCGTATACATTTTGAAATAAGCCGGTTGATTTCCAAAGAAAGCCTGCTGATATTTTGACTGGAATCTGCACTTGGAACCTAAAGACGAGTTTGCAGAGAGTTGCCATACAAAGTTTTTGAGTCTCCTAACCCACAAACATGGGGATTCCTCCATTTTGGAAGTCTGTTTCCACTCGTTGACGTGTTAGAGTTGTGTGGAGGGCTTAAACATCTTTTGTCCGATTTATTCCTGTGTATTTGATGTCCCTTGATAGTAACCTAAGCGATATTTTAACATCATCTTCCAATTGTTGATTGTCTATAAATATCAGCTACTTTTCTGTATCCAGCAGCTCCTAATTCACTTATTAATTTGAATGGTTTGATTTTCATGCCTGTACTCCTCATATCGTAAGACTAATACGTTAATACTATTGCTGATGGGAAGTGGGGGGAAGGGATTGAGCCAAATCTGATTCCAGAGGAGACTGTGTCTGGATTTGGCGACTGAGCACAGGGCTGTCCTGTCTGCTCCTGGGCGCCACTCGATGAGGCTGTGTGTGCCTTTCTGATGCCGAAACTTTGCATCTGTGACTGGGCTGGACTTGATGTATCTGTTTGCCTTTTTGAAGGGCATTTGTGAGGGTTTGTTTCTGTTGTCAGGAGCAGAAGTGCTGTTCTGAGCACAGGGCCTCTGTGCGCAGACACTGTGAGGTTCCCACCAGCACCAGCTCTGCTACGTTCTTGTCAACATTTGATATTGTCAGCCTCTCATTCCATTGTTTTAAGGTATTTATTTTGAAAATTAGCGCAAGCGGGGGAGGGTCAGAGGGAGAGGGAAAGAGAGGACCTCAAGCAGGCTCCGCGCTGTCAGCACAGAGCCTGATGTGTGGCTTGAACCCGTGAACCGTGAGATCATGACCTGAGCTGAGACCCAAGAGCTGGACTCAGCCTGTGGTTTTAGCTGCTCTGGTGGGGGTGCTCCCTGGTTTTAATCTGCATTATCCTAGTTCCTCACATGGATATTTTCCTTTGCAAAGTGCACATTCAGATCTTTTGCTCATTTAAAAACAGTTGTTTTGTTCTGTTCTTCAATAGCTGATCATATGGTTTTCTTAACTTTATGTTGATTTTAAGTTTTTTTATTTTGAGAGAAGTGAGTATGCACGTGTGGCGAGTGGGGCAAGGGCAGAGGGAAAGAGAGGGAGACGGAGAATAATCCCCTACATTCCCCTCACTGTCAGCGTGGAGCCCGACATGGGCTCAACCCCACAACCCTGGGATTGTGACCTGAGCTGAAACCAAGAGTCCGATGCTCATCTGATGGAGCCCCCCATGCGCCCTAAGTTAACACTGATTTTCAAAATTTCTTGCATTCCTGAATGCTCTGTGACGGCTGTTATTTGTATTACCTCTTTCATGTGCCAGCTCACCTGTAAGTCACTCTCACCAGGAGTGTTCCTGGTTGGAAAGTGTTTACCCAGTTTGGGGGTTTTGTTGGTGGGTGTTCTGTCAGTGCTGGGGGCCGCAGGGTGCAGGTCATGGGGACCGTGTCTGTGCAGCCCCGTCTCCCAGGAGCCCTTCCTCACCCCTGCCCCAGCCCTGCTCTGCACTGCACATACCCTCACAGCTGGCAGTGCGTTCTGGCAGAGGTCTCCCTGGTCACGGGAGGGTCTCCCGTTAAGTGCTGTGGTTGGTAGAGGCCACGGCCGGGAGTGCGGGCCGTAGGGACTGTGGCAGGGGGCCCCTCCCGCAAGCAGCCCCCAGGACCCCTGCTGTTGTGGGGTTGGCGTGGGCATGTGGCCAGGGCTGGGCCATGTTTGCTAACACCCTCCCGGCGGGCAAGGGAGCTGGGTGCAGCCCCCGCGGGCCCCTCGGAGCCTCTTGCTCTACTGTGGACAGGGCAGGGGGCGGGCAGGGGTGCTGCAAGCAAACGGGGCCAGGCTGTTGGTTAGAATGTGGAGGACTCCACCGAGCCACCCCCACCTGGGACCATGTTGTCACCAGGGCTCCAGGGTGGCCAGTTACTGCAGTCAGCCAGGGGGCTCCTGCCTCCACTCAGTGCCGGGGCCATCGTCACCTACCCCCCCACCACCTGCACTTTGGGATTGGGCCGCCCCACCCCTGCTACCAAGGTCCTGGCCACCTTCCACTTGCACACGGGAGCTCCTCACCTGGCGAGGACACTCTACGCGGCGTGTGGCCGCGTTGTTTGTCCCACGTGGGTGCCGCCTGCCATTCTGAGGATGGCAGCTCCGGGGCAGGCACCCTGACCAGGGTGGCCCTGGGATGTGGGCTTTGCGATCCTCATTCTGCAGGAAAACCACCCCGAGACTGCAGTAGGAAGGAGGTGGTGGTGGTATGCCGCCCACCACAGGGGTGTGGCCTGCAGGGTCTGTCCCAGAGAACCACCGGTGGTATCAGGCAGGCCCCTTCCAGAAAAGGGGGAGCACAGCATCTCGGGAGGCCCCGCAGGCGGAGGAGTTCAGAGCGGAAGACAGGACTCCGCTGCCAACATTCCCTTTTCAAGGCCGGCTCTTATTTTCCTCGCTGAGTCCCTCCCTGCGAAAGCCGCGTCGGAGACAGCTTGTGTCTCTCTGCTCCCCTGTCAGCAGGGGAAGGGGGCCTGTCTGGGGCCAGAGGAAGGTGGAGGAGGCCGGGTGCGCCCATGCGAGCCTGGCTGGCGGGAGAGGCTGCTAATTGTCCAAATATGAGATTTGCTTTACTGGGGATGTGAATAGAAATTGTAGTAGACGTGAGGACTCTGAAAACTTAATTTGGGAATGAAGCCTTCTGAAAGCGTCACTTTCTTTTCTAGGATAAAGATAAAGTTTCTCTGACCAAGACCCCAAAGCTGGACCGCAGTGATGGAGGGAAGGAGGTGAGGGAGCGAGCAAGCAAACGGAGGCTGCCCTTCACTGTGGGGGCCAATGGAGAGCAGAAGGACTCGGACACAGGTACAGGCGCCGCCCTCCCTCCCTGCTGACCACCCCGCCTGACTCTTCTCTTCCACAGAAAGTGTCTGTGACATCCCTCCCTCAGGCGTCTCCTGACACTGGTCCCTGTCTGGGATGGGCCCCCAAGACGGGTGCCCCCCAGCTTCTCTGCACCTCTCGGCTTTGCACCAGGACTCTCCGAGGAGTTGTGCTGGGGCTGGGGTGAGGTCCAGAGCGAGCTGTAAGGACATGTTCCCTGTTCTTGATGTCCGGGGTGACTCAGTGCTGATAGCAAAGGTTCACACTCGGGGATCCCCCGCCCAGGAGTGCCAGGCCGGACCGCTCCCCCCAGTGAGGCTCCCGGCATGTGCCCAGCTGTGGCCATGAGCGTGGCCTCTCTCCCCCGAGGTTCCTGGGTCCCCTTGCTCTATCCAGTCCCCTGAAAGTCCTGTGTTGGAGGATAAGTGTGTTTTCCCTTAGGGCTCCAGAAGCACACAAATCAAACCCAGTTGTTGGAAATAGAAGCCAGAGGGAGCACTAAGGGGGAGCCAGAGCCAGTGCAGTGTTCTGCGGGTGTGGCGGGTCCTGGGGCACAGGGCGGGGCTGCGTGCGTGCGTGTGCGTGTGTGTGCATGCATGAACACGAGCCTGCATGTGTATGCATGTGTCTGCACATGGGCATGCATGCGTGTCTCTGTATGTGTGCGTGGGAGGCTAATGACACTGGGCACATGCACTCTAAAGTTGACGCCATCTTGAGCTGCTCATGGGCCCACACCTTCTCCTGCCAGCCCGAGCTCCCTCTGCCTCTTGACCTTCGTGCTCGGGCCTGCCCTGCCTGCTAGCTATCTGACTGCCCTGTACACATGTGAACCAGTCACAGGCAGGGGTGAGAGAGGCACACAACATCCAGAGGGCCATGGAACCTGGGTGAATCCAGCCACAGGACGCAGAGAGGGGCCCTGGCCGGAAGGGGCGCGGATGGGGCTTCCTGTGTGTGATGGTCTGTGTCAGGCCCTGAGACAAGATGAACAGGCTAGAGAGTGGGGAGAAATGGCAGAGGGAACAGCCTGGAAATGTGCATCTGTGCCATGGCTTTTATTCATGGGGTCACAGGTCTCTCCCCCACGTCCTCCTTTGTAAGTGCTCCCCGAGCACATGTCCAGTCATTTAAAAGCCAGAGAAGTGGGCTTGGTTTTGCCGACTAGGATACTGAGGAGGGTTCCGAGCCCCCAGGGATCCTTCAGGAGGGTTCAACATTGCCCCCAGCCCCTGTAGCTGAGCCGCACAGCAGGGACAGGGCAGGGCCCATGGATTCACACGGATGCCCTGGGCTCCGGCCAGAACAGAGGGGTGCACGGACATGGCTGCGGCTCAGGCTTTCGGTCCAGAGGAAATCAGGCCATCAGAGCAGTGCGGGGGTTGTCCCTCTCGTTTTCAGTGCCAATACCAGTCTCGGTTGTGGGGTCTTGGTTCTGTTTGGTCATTAGCTGTCTGGATGGTGAGGGGGTGAGAGTGGTGTCCGGCCTCTGGGTTGTTCTGTAAGTGCCCAGCAGCCTTGCGGGGAGCCGGGGAGACAGTGTGAGGGCTGCTTGCTAGGGGAGTACGCTGGGTAGGCACGTGCCCTGGCACTGCCCACTCTGCTCTGCTCGGTAGGATTTCTTCGCACTTCCCACTTGATCGTGACGTTGGCTTTTCGGCTTCGTGCGCTGCCAGCAGGCCTTCTGGATACATCTGTTGCTGGCTAGCATTTCAGCAAGAGGCTGCCAGGCAGGTTCATTGAACCCACCTGGGATCTCTGGGGTGTCTACGAGATTTTTGGGGCATGCAGGGAGTGCTTGCATTTTTTCTCTGTGAGTTGTGGGTCCAGGTGAAGGCAGAGAGGGAGTTCCTGTTAGGGAGAGAAAAAGTGAAGAACATTTTATAAAAAGAATTTTCTAGCCAAGAACTATGTTACAAAAATCTAAATACATGTGAAATACAGTATTTGCCCTCATATTGTTATTGTCGTTTTGGGGCCGATTTTACATCGTCCACATCTGCTTGTTAGGGGTAACAAAGCTGGCTTTTCCAGTAAGAGGATTCTCCTGCGGGTGTGTGGTGCAGGCCTTGTATCAGGAGCCTGAAATCTCACACTCGAATCTGTGTGCATCCCGTCATGCACACATTGGGAAGCCGGCCGCCGGGGAGGCTACGCTGCCGTCTGCGTCTCTGGCGAGCAGAGCACCTGAGCTGGGTGCCGACTCTGAGACGCACACTGGCCAGGGGCCGCCCCCACTGAGTCGGGGCAGAAGCCACGCAGGGACAGAGTCAGAAGCCATGCAGGGACGGAGTGGAGGAGTGAACTCTGCTGAGTGACTGACAGAGATTGGGGCCAGGCGGGGTCTGCTCAAGGTCCCCTGTATCCCCACCCTGCCCAGCCCCTCCTCTTGCCGTGTCCCTCCAGCGCCCTCTGCTGGGAAGATGCAGCCCTGCGCCCACCGAGAGAGGAATGCGGCCGAAGGCTCCAGAACTCCGGGGTTCTGAGCGACATAGTTTCCTCAGCTGTGCTCCCCAAGTGGGAAGAAGAGGCTGATGAGCCTCCTCCTAGGGACCACTGAGCCACCGGAGAACACTGTCCTGTGTCCTCAACCCCCAGGAGGTGGCCTCCACAGTGCTTAGTCAGGCCTGGGGGCAGCCTGCCAAGAACAATAAAGCTCGTCTGTGGTGGAAGCTGGATGCCCTCTGCACCCGAGCTGATCTGAGCCAGAGCACCACCGGGGGCTTGTCACTTGAGCTGCCCACAGGCACCCTGGACAGACCATCTTTCCAGAGCCAGGTCTGTCTGGGCTCAGGAGGGCGGGCCGTGTACGCTCGCCCAAAGTAGGCCTGGTGTCTTCTAGGAAAAAGAAGCTCAGAGACCGTTCCTCCCAGCGCCACCGAGGAAGGAGGCGGAGGCCTCACAGGGTGGCCTCTCCCAGGCAGGTGGCCTGAAGCCTGCCCAGCCCTCAACACTCACGGTGTTTGTGATGGAATTCTATCGTGTCTGCGCTTGCTTCACATTACATTAATCTGTCTACTTCGTATATGATTAAATTTCCCCTCAACTTAAAAAAAAAAATCCGTCAGCAAACATTTAGGTTGGTTTACGTGCCCACCCACCCTCCTCAGGCTTCTGCAGAAGCCTCATGCCCTCATGCAGATTTCCATCCCTTAGTGTGAACGTAAGCCCTGCCACGTCCTTCCCGAAGCCACCAGGGTGGGCCCTGCCCGTCCCCAGAGGCCACACGGACTCCCCCTCCCCCCCTTCAGAGCACTGTCCTGTCAGAAGCATCAGGAGGTGGCAGCTGCCTATTCTCAGTACCTGAGTGTTTCTTTGGAGTACTGAAAAATTAAGGTTTTATTTTGCATCTGTCTTGTGAAAAAGACTTTTGTGTCCAGTATCTGGATGTTTATTCAGCAGTGCTGACGTGCGACCTACTGATGCCCTCCGGGCCAGGGGTCCGGGGACACTCATGTACTGACTGAAACCATGGTCACCCTGGCTCTGTAAGATTGGAAGGAGTGGCCGTTGTGACTTCTCCCCTGGGACTGTCCCTGTCTCCCCTGAAGGACTCTGGCTGCCCCGCTGGTGTCGACGCCGTGCCCTGCAGCGCGCTGGAGGCGGCCCGGACATGACCGTGAAGGGCGCCTCCACTCACCCACTCACCCCAGGTGCTGCCTGTGGTCGAGGCTGAACTGTGGGGGAGCCCGTGGCTGCAGAGGGCATGTGCCACCACAGTGACACCGTGGCTCCGTCATTTCCCTCCCTAAACTTGAGCAGTTTCTTCCTGTACAGAGGGGAGTGTAGACTGGCCAAGGAAGGCTGTTTATACGTAAAATGCCTGATGTCCCCCATTTGCAGAATGGGTGGGAATCTGCGGGACCGTGGCCTTCTCAGGGCCCCTGCTATCCACACAGCGTAGGGGAGCCAGGCCCTCACAACCACGTTGGGTTCTGTGACTCACAGGGATGACTCCCAGGACGTGGCTGACGAACGGCGGGGCACAGTCCAGGGGAGCCGGCTGTACCTTCCAGAGCCCTCTCAGGAGGAGCCTGGGTTGCGATCTGACCACCCCACCCTATGGTGCTCCCAGGGGCTGGGCCAGGGGCCGAGGGGTGGCCAGAGCCTGGTGCTGCCAGGCTCAGGACCAGCATGACTGATGCACGGGTCACACATTGGTGCGTGGGTGGATTGATTTATTTTGCTCTATTTTTAAAAGTCCTCACCGGGGCGCCTGGGCGGCTCAGTTGGTTAAGCGTCCGATTTCGGCTCAGGTCATGATCTCCCAGTTCGTGGGTTCGAGTCCCGCGTCGGGCTCTGTGCCGACAGCTCAGAGCCTGGAGCCTGTTTCAGTCTGTGACTCCCTCTCTCTCTGACCCTCCCCTGCTCACACTCTCTCTCTCTCTCTCTCTCTCTCAGAAATAAACTTAAAAAATTAATTAAAAAAAATAAAACAATAAAAGTCCTCACCATGCTTTGGTGCCGTGAAAGAGGGCCAGTGGTTGTCAGGTTGTGTTGTGGGGAGGGGCGTATATGCCAGTGTCACTTTCTCGTACCCTGGCTTCCTCCTCATGGCCGTGACGGCCCTCACTGAATTTCCAAGCATCTGTGGATGGGGACTGCGGTACCCCTCAAGCAGAGGGCACCCAGCCCATGACCTGGGAGCGCCCCGCCTGCGCCGCAGAAGCAGACATCAGAGACGGACCCCAGCCCCTCCCTTTTTGGACACAGGAGACCAAGACCAGAGAAGTCAGGGGCTTGCTGAAGATCCCCTCTGTCTTGGTGACCAGTGGTGGTAATAAAGAAGTGGATGTAAATCAGGAAAATGGAAGGAAAAGCGAGGCATAACTAAAGTGCCCCCTGTGCAGGTTTGGGGGAACCTTGGGTCCTGGTCTTGCAGCACTTGGAGAACCCGAGTGTGCAGCTGGACAGGGACGCACTCCGTGCGGCTCCTTGCCTGACGCAGGTCCTCTCCAGCATAGGTGCTGTCCCAGCGGAAGTGCTTCTTCCAGGCCTGTGAGCACCGGCATCGGGCCCTGTGTTGGCGTGGGTGCAGGGGCGCCCCCTAGCACCCCACCTGCCGTCGGCTTTCCCGGAGCTCCGCCTGGTATCTTGGGGAGCTCTGCGATCCCACAGCCTCACCACCAGGTGCCCTCCTGTGGAGTGGGGGCTGAGCAGCGTTGACATCGTATGGTTTTAGAGTGGGATGTACGAGTTAGAGGTTTCCCTTGGGCTGGGTGCTGGACTGTGTCTCCTGAAAAAGCTCGCTTCGAGAACAGCCCAGAAGTCAGAGGTGGTGAGTGATGACCAAACGAAAGACTGGTTGTGAGCACTCTGGGGCCCTGGGGGCTGAGGATAGTGGGAGTCGGCCGCTGGTCCCTCGGGACCACAGTGGACAGGCCCCTGAGAGCCACATCAGGGAGGGACGCCTCAGGCTGGAAGTCACCGTCCCTGCACCAGAGCCCTCTGTCTCCTCCATCTGGTGCCCACCTGGGGCGAGGGGCTTTGAGAGCCATCCCAGAAACGCGCGCCACCCGGTCCCAGACCGGAGCAAAAGCCAGTCCCCTCCGGAGACACGGACTTGCGTGCGGCGTCCCAGCCCCAGAAATCAGACAAATACTGGTGCCGGGTCAGAACCACGTCCCACGAGGAAGAGCGCTATCCTGCGAGGAACCAGCCCCGGGCACTTGTGTTGTGTGGGGATGACTGGATACAAAGCGTGGATCAGTGGAGCGCTGTAAGGGAGAAACTGAAACCACGAGTAAGCAACCGGGCACTGGCAGAAAATACCACGTAGAGTTTTAAAAGTATAAAATGGAATACACGGCAGTGAAAATTACCAACGATATTACAAATTCAGTGGGCAGATTACATCGCTCATTAGAGCAAGTGTGTGGCTTGCAAGTTAGAAGCAAGGAAACTGCCCGCGCTGAGGTACGGAGAGAGGAAGCGGAAACAGGAAAGAGGTTCAGGGTGTGGAGGAGAAGCAGACCTGCCTTCGTGAGACAGGGTCCTTGGGCCTCAGGGTGATTGCGCCTCGGGCAGGACACGGGCGGGTGCGCGTCAGCACATGCTCACCAGGTGGCAGAGGCAGGAGGCACGCCCGCTCGCTTCCAGTAGCTTCCTTGTGCCAGACCCGCTGCGGCGCCCTCCAAGTTCTGCTGGGGAGGGAGACGCAGCGGTAGGAAGTGGAGTCGGAGCAGTGGTCTCTACGGCCCGCGCCCGCCCACTGCGGTGGTGTGTGGAGGGAGTGTGTTCCGGAAGGCCCGGGTTGGTGGCGTGGGCTGTAGGGAGTGGGGATCCCTGCATCCTCCAACTGGGGTGCTGCGATGACATGGCCTGGCACTGACGGCACAGACCACAGTGAGCTCGCGCCATAGGAATCCCAGGTGGTGTCACATCAGCGTTTTTTCCTGACGGTGACGCACAGGGACCATCCAGGCTCGTGTGAAACCATCATCTCCCACCAGCCCCAGCGGGAGTGCCAGGACCACGGCTGGGTGACGGCACCGCTGGAGCGGGGAGGCTCCAGCCCTGCTCCAGCTCTTGGGTCCGGGGCAGTGGGCCGCTTTCCTGGGTGTCCACAGAGCCCTCGGAGCCCCCAGGGGCATGTCCAGGCCACAGGCCACCTCAACCCACCAGGCTCCCCCTGCGCCACAGCCTGGCACGGGCCGCTGGGCGTTCCTGCCCGTGCCTAGCAGGGCGCCAGAGCGGCTCCCAGGCTGTCCTGAGAGGTCCTGAGGGGCCACTCTGGGTCCTGGCTCCTCTTCTGGCAAGTGGGGCCCCCAAGCTGGGGCCAGGGGTGCAAAAGTAGGCTGTGCAGCCATCCCCCGCCCTGTTGTGGACACCGCGTCCCAGGCAGAGCAGCAGCTGGGAAGAGGACTGACCATGTCCCTGGGCTCCCTGCACCCGAGGCCACACGCAGCCTGGCTGGACTCGGGCCCCCTGGGTCCTGGGAGGCTCTGCGTCTTAGAAGATGGGATTGTATCGGGTTTTCCCTGTGGGGAGACTCGGGAGATGTCCTGTTCATGCCTCGGGGGACCCGTGCGGGAAGGTGGGCTGTGCAAGGCCTCTTCCCCCCAGGAGGGAGCGTCAGTACCTTCCACGTCCCTGAGCGTCGTCCAGCCTCATCCCGGGCTCCTGGCCACAGAGGGGAGGGGGACCCGGTGGGGCCTAGGGCCTCTTCCTGAGACCGGGGCCTGGCGTGGTGCTGCAGGCCCTCCCCCACGGCGGGGGACATGGCCGTGGGTGGTTTTCAGCTGCCGCCCCAGGAAGAGATTCTCTTTCCCGCCCCCCCCCCCCCATCTCTAGGAACTCTGCTTCCTGTATTGTCGCTTGAAGACAACGACGGCAGTGCACTCGTGCCCACTCCCTCTGGCCCCTCAGAGTCCTGGGCGTCTGTCCTGAGGACACCCCACCTACACGCAGCCCTGCATGGCCCTGGGCCAGCCCCGGAGAGCAGGAACCCTCGGTCCCGCACATGTTTCTCTGAGCTCCGCTGTCTCTCTCTTCGGTGGGCTTCCTGTCTCCATCGCCCTGGGGGAGGCGGCAGGGGGGCTTGAGAGGCTGGGGGCTCTGGTTTGAGCGGTAATTCCCAGGAGACGGGGTAGGACTTGGGTGCGGACTCCTCTTGCCCCGCACCAGGGCCTGTGCTGGAAACACGGAGCTGGCGGGGCGTCTGAGGGTTTCACCCCTGTCCTTGCCGCAGAGCCGGAGGTCGGCCTGGGGGCACAGGCCTTGTTTCTGTCATTGTTCGTCCATCAGGATGTGCAGAGGAGCAGTGCAGGGCAGAGCGGTCACCGTAGGGAAGGGGAGAGACGGGCTAGGGGAGAACTCCGCCCTGTTAGAACTTTTAAACCAAATGCCCAGATTCAGGCTCTGTGGCCCCGAGTGACTGAAAGTGCGGCACCTTGAGGGGCCGTGGGCAGGCCTGCTGCTGGGAGGTTTCTCACCCTGTGCAGAGGCTTCAAGGAGGCCACTAGCCTCACCCCTGCCTCTGCCACCTTGTAGGTAGTACAGGACGGGGTGGATGAGCTGGGGCCCTTGGTTACTGATGAGGAGCGTTCTGGAACTTACTTGCTTTCTTGGGCCTGTGCCTGATGGGCTGGTTGAGGCTGATGGTTGCCGGGTGCCTGAGAACCTGTGTTGCAGCGAGTCACGGCCGTAGCTTCGGAAAGGGCCGATGCGGTACTTTCTAAGGAAGCAGCTCACAGAAAGCTCTTCTTGAGAAAATGGAAAATGATGCATCTGTGGGGCTGGGGGTGTCATCCTGGAGCCGGGCAGGCAGGGTGCCCATGAGCCTGTCCCATCCACCTCTCCCAGACGGCACCCACCTCCCCAGGGCAGACCCGAGCCAGCGAGCAAGCTGATGGCCTGGAGGGGCCTCTCCGATGCACAGAGTGGAGGGCAGGAGACCCCACACACACCACCACCCAGAGAAGAGTCTCAGGGCCCCAAGTCTCCCACGGCGACCCTCCTTCCCTGGCTGCAGTTTGCACCCTGTGACCTAGAACATCCCATAAACAGCCCGGCCCCCACACCAGGGCCCCACGCAGCACGCACGGGGCAGTGCAGGGAGGGCTCCAGGCGCCCAGTGGACCCCGAAATCCCCAGCAGGAGGGGCCCGAGGGTCAAGGAGGAAAGCGAGCTTTGGCTCCTGGTTCACGGAGTCTGGGGGGAGTTTTCTGTCCCTTCCCCCTGCCTCTTCCAGAAGAAACCACATGGTGTGTCTGTGTTCAGGGCCGGCAGGGAGTTCTGTAATGGGTCAGACAAGTGGAGGATGTGTGCGTTCCGAGGAGGCGGAGACGGAACGGCTGGGCTGTTCCATCGTGTCTGGTTAGTGCTCTGTGTTGATGCCTTTAGATGCCTCCAGCTCAGTCCATGTCGTGGTACTGCAAGGCTGGGTCGCTCCTCGAAGGGCCATGGCATGAGATGGAGGTCCCTAGAAGCAAGAAGAAAGGTACAGTACTGACAAGTCGGCCTTGATCTATTTATGTATTTCTAAACTGTGTTTGCCATTTATATCTGCACTGTTTGGAGGCGGGACGGGGAAGGAGGAATCAGAGTGTGGACACATGTATTTAATAGACAGAGACCTGTCCTGTGTGAGTCAGGACCCCGGTGAGGGGCCGTCCCACCGCCTGGCGTCCGGCGGCCGGTCTGGGGAGGCACCTGAGAGGAGCGACCGGTCAGTGGGGGCCGAGGTGGGGCAGGCTCCACTGGCTGATGACGCGGTGTCGGGCTTGTCTCTGTTGCCGCCGGAGGTGACGACGGGCAGCTCGGTGCTGCCACCTCTGTCCTTGCCCGTTCCCCGTGAGCTGTGAGGCGGGAGGCGGGGGCTCCGCGATGCCAGGTCAGGCTGCGGGTTCCGAGGACCGCGTGGCATGAACTGTCCCCCTGTCTCCTCCACCACCTCGCAGAGAAGCAGGGTCCTGAGCGGAAGAGGATTAAGAAGGAGCCTGTCACCCGGAAGGCCGGGCTGCTGTTCGGCATGGGGCTGTCTGGGATCCGGGCCGGCTACCCCCTCTCCGAGCGCCAGCAGGTGGCCCTCCTCATGCAGATGACTGCCGAGGAGTCCGCCAACAGCCCAGGTGAGCCGCCCCGTCCCTCGAGGAGGCGAGGAGGCAGCTTCTCTAAGCCGAGACATGCCCAGTGACGCCCTGCCTGTCCTCTCCTCGGCCTGCAGTAGACACCACACCAAAGCACCCCTCCCAGTCGACAGTGTGTCAGAAGGGGACGCCTAACTCCGCCTCGAAAACCAAAGACAAAGTGAACAAGCGGAACGAGCGTGGAGAGACCCGTCTGCACCGCGCAGCCATCCGGGGGGACGCCCGGCGCATCAAGGAGCTCATCGGCGAGGGCGCGGACGTCAACGTCAAAGACTTCGCAGGTGAGCGTGGGTGGGTGGGCGGGCGGCGTCCCCCTTAACCCCCATCCCAAGGACCCCCCGCCCGGGAATTTGCACATGGGAGTTGGGGGTGGGGCAGACCTCACACTCAGACCGGGGTCAAGTGTTATTCCTACTGAGGAGGAGGGATTGGTGTTTTGGGAAGTATTTCAGAATAAGGTGGATTTCTTGTCTCTTACTATTTTTAAGAGAACTGGGGAATTTGTAGATGCCACCCCGCCATGTTGTGTAGACCCCAGTTCCGTGCAAGAGGAGTCACACCCTTGGCGTGTTCAGGGAGAGGTGGCCCTGCCGCTGTGTCCGTCAGTCCAGGGACCGCGCCACCCCCCAGAGAAGAAACGTCTCCCCAAGACGGGCCTTGCGTTTGAGCAGAAGCAGGCGTCGCTCCCCTGGCCGGAGACGGCCAAACTCTTAGATGCTCTGAGGCCCCGTGGCCGCGGCGGAGTAGCTACCGCCTGCTGTGCACAGAACGGGGCCCACAGCTGCTTGTCCTGAGTGCGCAGGGGGCGTGAGCCTTTTCCCACTGCCCTAGGCGGTGGGGCTTCTGACCCACACCTAATTTAGCACCTTTAAAAAAAAAAAAAAAAAAAACAATTTTCTAAATCAGTATTTTCCAAAGCACCAGAATTTGTGTCCACAGGGGTGGCCCTGTTTGCACACTGACATTGGTGGCCATGTCGAGGCTCTGGCGGAAACGGCCGCCGGAGGAGGCGTCCCCGCGTGGCCTCAGCCGCGTGCTGCACAGAGGGCGCGTTTCCAAACCTGCGACCTTGGTGACGAGCCCCGCCACACCCTCCCCGCCTCCCTCCCTGCACCCTCCCCCGTGTGTGGCCACATGCGTTGGATTGAGGCTGCCACCCGTGACAAGTCCTCTGCCCCAGATTACGCCTCATAGACGGTTAATCTGGAAGGTTAGCAAGCTGCAGACGAGGAGTCCCCGTAAAGGCCGCTCAGGGCGTCCTGGGCCCATAGCCCTTCCGTCCCTTCTGTGCAGGGTGCTGCCCGGGCACAGGATTAAATTCTTGAGGATTAAATAACACAGGTCCTAAGTGTCTGTTTCCAGGCTGGACGGCGCTGCACGAGGCATGTAACCGCGGCTACTACGACGTCGCCAAGCAGCTGCTGGCCGCGGGCGCAGAGGTGAACACCAAGGGCCTGGACGACGACACCCCCCTGCACGACGCTGCCAACAACGGGCACTACAAGGTGGGCGCCTCCCCGCCCACCCCTGCTGGGCCTGCCGGCCGACGCGGACATCATTCCCTCCCCGTCCCGCCGCCCCCACCGTCCTGCACGTTTGCCCCCCGTGCTCACCCTGGGTCAGCACCTGGGTGGCCGCCTCCTCCCCATGGCAGGGCCCTGCTCTGGCCGTGCCAGTGTGGCTGGGTTTTAGTAGGTGGGTGATCATGCCCATGGGGGTGGGGTGGGTTCAGGGGCTGCTGCTGGCCCTGTCCTCGTCCCTGTGCGGTCTGCTGTGGGTGGGATGCTGAGAAGGGTGTGGCCAGGACGCTGGAGGACCCTTGTAACCAGCCCAGGGGCAGTGACCCCAGTGCACGTCCTCCCTGAGAGGTCTTGGCCCCGGGGAAGCGGCCGTCCCCGGGGCTGAAGCAGGAGACGCGCAGAGATGGCGAGGCTCTCGCCGTGGTCGTTTCCAGGCCTTCGTGAAGAGGCCCTGGCCAGAGACGCCACGCCCAGGACAGTGGGGCCTGGCGAGCACCGTGCCCGTAGACCAGAGCACACCTGACGCTCCCGGTAGCTGCCCTGCCCGGTCTCCCTGGGCAGGTGCCAGGGAGCTAGCCAGCAGCGTGGAGCGTGTGGTGAGCAGTCAAAAGATGACGAGTCACCACAGGGTGGGGGGGGCGGGGTATGACTGAGAAGATGCCCCGGGTGACTGGACGAGTCTGGACACAGATTCTGTGCTTTATGTTAGGGCTATGCTAGGGCTCATGGTTAGCTCCTTAGGTAGGATAAAGGCATCGTGGGTTTTTTGTTTTCTTAAGGGTCCTTTTAGAGAAATACTGGAAAGTTTATGAAATGCCTGGGACCCACTAAGGGGGAGGGGTATCGATGACATGAGCCTGGCACTGAGCTGGCAGCCCACCGCATGGGGAGGACCGGGTCATCCTCTGAATCCCTGTGCTTCTGTAATTGTATCGTAAAACTGTTGTACAGAATAGACCGTGGAAAGTGGGGAGGGGTGCAGGGTGGTGGCCCCCAGAGAGACCCCTCCTGATCCTGATCCTGGGATTGGGAACATGTAACCTCACGTGGTAAGGGGACTTGACAGATGGGAGGGAGCGAAGGATCATGCAGTGGTGGCCCTGGATCATCCCCACGGGGCCGGTGGCCTTGGGGGTGTGAGTAGCAGAAAGCCTTCCCCAGGAGGGAGGAGACGTGCGGGCGCCCCCACCCCCACCCCCACCCCCCCGCATCGCCAGCCTTAGCACAAGGGCCCCAGGGACATGGTAGCGGCCAGCAGTTGGCACAGCCTTCAGCAGGCAGACGGCAGGGACACAGCGCCAGTCCCACCACTGCAAGGGATCCCATGCACACAGAAAGGAAGGAGCTGACGCCACACATCTGTAGGGTCAGTGAGATCAGTTTCAGTTTTGGCGGGATGGAGGGGCCGGGGATTTGCTAGAGCAGCAGAGAGAAACCCGTGCCCAGGAAGCGGGGTCCCGACCAGGGGAGGCCACGGCATCCTGAGCGGGACGGGCACGTGAACGATGGGGTTTTCCTGCGTGAGGATTGTTTCAATGCCACAGCGCCCGGACTGGGGCTGAGATGGCGGCGAGCCAGCCACCCCGGGCATGTGAGGCGCACTTGCTGGCTGTAGACAGTTGAGCAGAGCTGCTGACGGGTCACCTGGCGTGTGTCATCATTCCCAGGACCACCCTTACCATGTCGAACAGAGCACGGAAGAGGCGATCTTATTTTCTAAAATAAACGAGAACACAAAATAAACCTAACTTGCAAGCAGCTCATTCTTTGTTGCCTCTATTCTGTCACCCCCTGCCCCCCACCAAAGCTCCGGAGCCCTTCCGTCCACGCCCACTGGGCCCTGCCGGCTGGCAGCTCGTCACCGGCGGGAGATCGTGGGGCCGTAGTCAGCCCACCGACGGGGGAGGACTTTCCATAGGAGCGCAGACCTCCTCCCTGTGGTGGCGCGCTTGGGGTGGGGGAGGGCTCGGAGACACCCCCTCCCCCCCCGGGGCTGTGCCTGTGTGCATGGCTTGCGGTCTTTGGCCGGGGTGGCAGGGGCGGCAGGGGCTGTTCTCTGGTTGAGCGCAGGACTCTAGGAAGGGGCTAAATGCAGTAGTACAGGCCCAGAGGCACACCCCGTGCTTCTCAGGAAGCCCCTGACGCACCGGTTGCTGTGTTGTAGGTGGTGAAGCTGTTGTTACGCTATGGCGGGAACCCTCAACAAAGCAACAGAAAAGGCGAGACCCCGCTGAAGGTGGCCAACTCCCCGACCATGGTGAATCTCCTGTTGGGCAAGGGGACCTACACGTCCAGCGAGGAGAGCTCGACCGGTCAGTGGCCGAGAGCCGCGCCCTGGGTGCCGGCTGGGGTGGGGGAGCTTCTGGACCGCCGGGACCCCACCCCCAGGGTCTCCTTGGCCGCCGGCCCCGCCCTCACACAGACTTCTCTCTCACTCCCTCCTGCCTGTGGCTGGCCTCCGATTCACCTAAATGGGGCGAAGAGCGGCCTCCCCTCCCCTCCCCTCCCCACCCGGAGGCAGCCCAAGCATCGTCTGCTGATCACTGTCCCCGTGCGTGTTCAGTGGCTTGTTGTGAATCTGCCTCTGACCTCTTCCTCCCTGTTCCCAGCAGAGAGCTCAGAGGAGGAAGACGCCCCGTCGTTTGCACCTTCAAGTTCAGTTGATGGCAATAACACAGACTCTGAGTTTGAAAAAGGCCTAAAGCACAAGGCTAAAAATCCAGAGCCCCAGAAAACTGTGACCCCCGTCAAGGACGAGTACGAGTTTGACGAGGATGATGAGCAGGACCGAGTCCCTCCCGTGGACGACAAACACTTACTGAAAAAGGATTACAGAAAAGAAACCAAGTCAAATAGTTTTATTTCTATACCCAAAATGGAAGTGAAAAGTTACACTAAAAATAACACGATTGCACCAAAGAAAGCGGCTCATCGCATCCTGTCGGACACGTCAGACGAGGAAGACGTGAGTGTCGCCGTGGGGACAGCGGAGAAGCTGAGGCTCTCGGCACACGCGATACTGCCCAGCAGCAAAACACGGGAACCTTCCGGTTCCAAGCAGCAGAAGGAGAAAAATAAAGTGAAGAAGAAGCGAAAGAAGGAGACGAAAGGCAAAGAAGTGCGGTTCGGGAAGAGAAATGACAAGTTTTGCTCCTCCGAGTCCGAGAGCGAGTCCTCGGGGAGCGGGGAGGACGACGGGGACTCCGTGGGCAGCTCCGGCTGCAAGCAGTCCCCTCTGGTGCTCAAGGACCCGGCCCTGTTCAGCTCTCTGTCCGCCTCCTCCACCTCGTCTCACGGGAGCTCCGCCGCCCAGAAGCATAACCCCGGCCACGCAGACCCGCACGCCAAGCACTGGCGGACGGACAACTGGAAAAGCATCTCTTCTCCCGCCTGGTCCGAGGTCAGCTCCTTGTCAGACTCCACGAGGACGAGACTGACGAGCGAGTCTGACTGCTCCTCCGAGGGCTCCAGCGTGGAGTCGCTGAAGCCTGTGAGGAAGAAGCAGGAGCACAGGAAGCGGGGCGGCCCGCAGAGCGCGCTGCCGGAGAAGAAGAACTCTTTCCACGCCAGTGTGGACGGCGCCATCCCCAAGCTGGACAAGGAGGGGAAGGTCGTCAAGAAACATAAAACAAAACACAAACACAAAAACAAGGACAAGGGGCTGTGCTCCGTCGGTCAGGAACTCAAACTGAGGAGTTTCACTTACGAGTACGAGGACTCCAAGCAGCGGTCGGAGAAGGCCGTCCTTGTGGACGGCGACGTGCCCGGCGAGAGCAAGGCGAAGGCCTTGAAGCACGACAGGGAGCACTTCAGGAAGGAGGAGCGGCTCAGCAAGGCGAAGGCGGAGGACAGGGAGTGGCTCTTCAGGGAGGAGGTGCTCAAGGTCTCCAAAGATGAGAAACCACTGAAGAGAGTCAAAGACGGGAGCAGGTCTTCGCGCGAAGAGAAGGACCGCACGAATAAAGCAGAAAGAGAGAAGCTGGTGAAGGAAAAGTCCCCCAAAGAGGAAAGACTGAGGCTCCACAAAGAGGAGAGGAAGAGGAAGTCCAAAGACAGGGCCGCGAAGCCAGAGAAGAAGAGCGACTGTAAGGAGGACAGGGCCCCGAGGGACAGGGACAGGGACAAGCCTTTCAGAGAAGACAGAGAGAGGCTGAGGAAGGAGAGAGTTTACAGGGAGGACTCCTCCGCCTTCGACGAGTATTGTAACAAGAGCCAGTTTCTGGAGAACGAGGACACCAAATCCAGCCTTTCCGACGACCAGCAGGACCGGTGGTTCTCGGACTTGTCCGACTCCTCCTTCGACTTCAAGGCGGACGACAGTTGGGACTCCCCGGTGACGGACTACAGGGACGTCAAAAGCGACCCCGTGGCCAGACTGATCCTGGAAACCGTGCGGGAAGACAGCAAGGAGAAGAAGCGGGAGAACAGGGGCCGCGAGAAGCGCGAGTACGGGGACCGGCGCGGCGACAGGGACGCCTGCCTCAGGAGGAAGGAGCGGGACGGCCTGGACAGAGGCTCCGACAGGAGGCGGGAGCAGGTGGACAAGCAGAGGGGGGTCCCCGGCTGCCTCCCCGACAGGGACAAAAAGCGGAGGGAGCCCGCCGAGGGCGGGCGGGACCGCAGGGACCCCCTCGAGGCCGCCAAGGAGCGCAGGGACGGCAGGCCCAGGCCCGAGGAGCCGAGGGAGCCGGGCGGCGAGGCCGGCCTCAGGGACAGGCCCGACTGCGACCTGGGGAAGGGCCCCGAGCCCTGGGAGAGGCTGCACGCGGCGAGGGACAGGGAGCGGAGGGAGAGGGGCAAGCTGGAGAAGCACAGAGACAAGTCCTGCGACAAAGACAAAAGCGACAAGGCCGTCCCGGAGAAAAGCCAGAGGGACAAGGACCCAGACAAGTGCTGCAAGGAGAAGAAGGACCCCAAGGAGAAGCATAAGGACAAGGAGCGGAAGGCTCCCCCCGACCCGGCGAAGGACAGGAGGGACAGGGGCTTCGCGGGGCCGCCCCCGGACGACCTCCCGGAGAGAAAGGACGAGAAGAAGGGGAAGGAGAAGAGCTGGTACATCGCCGACATCTTCACGGACGAAAGCGAGGACGAGAAGGACGAGTTTGCGGCCAGCGGGCTCCGGCTCGGGGACGCCGCGGACGCGCCGCGGGCGGACGGCCCCCCGGACGCCGACCGGCACCGCAAGCACCCTGCCGACCGGCAGCTCGCGGAGAAGCAGAGGGACCGGGAGCTCCGAGAGAAGAAGAGGGAGAGGGGGGCCCCGGAAGCGGCGAAAGACAAGAAGGACAAGGGCCCGGACAAGCACAAGGACCGGAGGGACAGGGAGGGCGGGGACAGGTGCCGGGACAGGAGGGACCGCCCGCCGGCCGACCCCGCCCAGGAGAAGCGGGCCCGGCCCAAGCCCCCCGAGAAGGCGGAGCGGAAGCCCCCGGCCGAGGACCGGGCCCGGGGCAGGCACCGCGAGCGGCCGGACAGGGAGCACGGCCGGGAGCGGAAGGCGCCGCGGGGCGCCGAGGCGGAGCGGGCCCTGCTGGAGAGGCTGGAGGAGGAGGCGCTGCACGCCTGCCGGGAGGACTCCCACGACAAGGCCAGCGAGGGCTCCTCCGACAGCTTCGCCGACCGCGGGCCGGAGCCAGGCCTGGGCGCCCTCCTGGAGGTGTCCTTCACGGAGCCCCCGGAGGACAAGGTCAAGGAGAGGGAGAGGCACAGGCACTCGTCGTCCTCGTCCAAGAAGAGCCACGACCGGGAGAGGGTGCGGAGGGACCGGTGCGAGAGGCGGGACCGGAGCGAGGACCTCAGGGACGCCGGCAGCAGGAAGGACCCCGGCCCCTGCGACAAGGACTTCGCGGACGCGGACGCTTACGGGGTCCCTTACGGCGCGAAGGCGGACGCGGAAGACGACTTGGATAAAACCGTCGAGCTGTTCGCCGCCGAAAAGAAAGAGAAAAACGATCCCGAGAGAGAGCCTTCCAAGAAGGCCGAGAAGGAGCTGAAGCCCTACGGCTCCGGCGCCAGCGGCGCCCTCAAGGAGAAGAGGCGGCGCGAGCGGCACCGCGAGAGGTGGAGGGAGGAGCGGGAGAAGCACCGGGACAGGCACGGCGACGGGCCCCCGCGGCCCCACAGAGACGAGCAGAAGCCCGCGGCCAGAGACAAGGACGGCGCCCCGACCGCGCTCAGAGACAAGCCCCGGGACGAGGGCCCCAGACCTGGCGAGACCAAACCGAAGGAGAAGTGCAGGGAAAATCCAGAGAAGGAGAAGGGTGAGCCGGCGAAGGTCAGCAACGGGACCGATAAGCCGCCGGCGCCCAGAGACCCGGGCAAGAGAGACGCCCGGCCCAGAGAGAAGCTTCTGGGCGACGGGGACCTGATGATGACGAGCTTCGAGCGCATGCTGTCCCAGAAGGACCTGGAGGTGGAGGAGCGGCACAAGCGGCACAAGGAGAGGATGAAGCAGATGGAGAAGATGCGCCACAGGTCCGGGGACCCGAAGCTCAAGGAGAGGCCGAAGCCCGCGGACGACGCGCGCAAGAAGGGCCCCGACGGGCCGGCCAAGAAGCCGCTGGCGCCGGACCCGGCCCCGAGGGACAAGAGGCCCCGGGAGCCCGCCGCGGCCCCGCCCGCTGCCGAGGGCAAGCCGCGCCCGGGACCCGCCCCGGACGCCAGGGACTGGCTGGCGGGGCCGCACATGAAGGAGGTGCTGCCCGCCTCTCCCCGGCCGGACCAGGGCCGGCCCACCGGGGTCCCCGCGCCCGCCGCCGTGGTGTCGTGCCCCAGCTACGAGGAGGCCATGCACACGCCCAGGACCCCGTCCTGCAGCGCGGACGACTACTCCGACCTCATGTTCGACTGCTCGGACCCCCAGCCCGTGTCCAGCACGTCTGCCAGCGCCTGCTCGCCCTCTTTCTTCGACAGGTTCTCTGTGGCGGCTAGCGGGATCCCAGAGACCGCGAGCCAGACGCCCACGAGGCCGCTGTGCACGAGCCTGTACCGCTCGGTGTCCGTCGACATCCGCAGGGCGCCCGAGGAAGAGTTCAGCCCTGGGGACAAGCTCTTCAGACAGCAGAGCGTCCCCGCCTCGTCCAGTTACGACTCGCCAGGGCAGCGCCTGGACGACAAGGCCCCGGGGCCCCCGGCTCCTGCCGAGAAGTTCGCCTGCCTGTCCCCGGGGTACTACTCCCCGGACTACGGCATCCCCTCCCCCAAAGCGGACACTCTGCACTGCCCGCCCGCGGCTGCGGTCAACGCCACCCCCTCCCCAGAGGGTGCCTTCTCTGGTTTACGCGCCAAGTCCCCCGCTTCGCACAGAGACGAGCTGTCGGCCCCGTCCGTGGAGGGGGCCCTGCCGCCCGACCTGGGCCTCCCCCCGGACGCCACGGAGGACCAGCAGGCCACTGCCGCCATCATCCCCCCGGAGCCCAGCTACCTGGAGCCGCTGGACGAGGGCCCCTTCAGCACGGTCATCACGGAGGAGCCCGTCGAGTGGGCACACCCGGCCGCCGCCGAGCAGGGCCTGTCCTGCAGCCTGATGGGGGGCACCCCCGAGCACCCCGTCAGCTGGCCTGTGGGGCCGGACCTCCTGCTGAAGTCCCCGCAGCGCCTGCCGGAGTCCCCGCAGCACCTCTGCCCGGCCGAGGCCCTCCACCCCGCTGCCCCAGGGCCCTTTGGCGCCACGGAGCCCCCTTACCCGGGCTCCCCGGACTCCTACCCTCTGTCGGCCACTGAGCCTGGACTCGAGGGCGCCAAAGGCGACGCGGTGGAAGCCGTCCCGGCCGCTGTCCCCGCCCCGGAAGAACCCACCCCCTTTGCCCCTCCTTCCAGGCTGGAGCCCTTTTTCACCAACTGCAAACCGCTGCCTGACGCGCCCCCCGACGCGGCCCCGGAGCCTACGTGTCTGGGCGCCGTGACTCCGGTGGAGGCTCTGGCGCCCGTGGAAGGGAACTTCCTGGAGAACGGGCACGAGCTGCCCGCCCTCGCCCAGGTGGCGCCGGTGCCCTGGCCTGATGGCTTCCCCAACCCTGAGGACGACTTGGACCTGGGGCCCTTCTCTCTGCCAGAGCTTCCTCTTCAAGCTAAGGACGTTCCTGACGTCGAAGCAGAGCCCGTAGAAGAGACTCCCCTCGGTCCTCCAGAAAACACCCCCGCGGGGCCACCTGTGGTCCCGAGCGGCGGGGAGGTCCCTGCGGCAGCTGCCGAGGAGCAGCAGCCCGCGCCGCCTCCCGGCCAGGCGGCCCCGCGGCTCCTGCCCGAGCCCGAGCCCGAGCCCGAGCCGAGCGAGGAGCCTGCGCCGGACGTGACGGCGGGAAGCACGGTCGAAGCAGGGATCGCGTCAGAGGGCAGGGCGCCCCCCGAGGACTCGGACTCCGGCCTGGGCGCCGCACCGGCACCCGCGGAGCGCCATCCCGCGGGGAGCGCAGACGAGGCGGCCGAGGGCCGAGACCCCACGGCCGCGCCCCACGGCGCGCCCGACGCCCCCGCGGATGGCCCGGCGCAGGCGCTCGTGGCGGACGGCACCGGGCTCGAGGGGCCCGTGGGCGGCATCCAGCCCGAAGCTTCGGACCCAGAGCCCAGGCCCGTGGCCGAGGCCCCGAAGGCGCCCAAGGCCGAGGAGATCCCCCAGCGCATGACGAGGAACCGGGCCCAGATGCTGGCCAACCAGAACAAGCAGAGCTCGCCGCCCGCCGAGAAGGAGCCGGCGCCCGCGCCCCGCGCCAAGGGCCGCTGCTGCGAGGACGACGACCCGCAGGCGCAGCACCCGCGGAAGCGCCGCTTCCAGCGCTCCGGCCAGCAGCTGCCGCCGCAGATGAACACGTCGACGCAGCAGACGCGGGAGGTGATCCAGCAGACGCTGGCTGCCATCGTGGACGCCATCAAGCTGGACGACATCGAGCCGTACCACAGCGACCGGTCCAACCCCTACTTCGAGTACCTGCAGATCAGGAAGAAGATCGAGGAGAAGCGCAAGATCCTCTGCTACATCACCCCGCAGGCGCCCCAGTGCTACGCCGAGTACGTCACCTACACGGGCTCCTACCTCCTGGACGGCAAGCCGCTCAGCAAGCTGCACATCCCCGTGGTGAGTCCCGGGGTGGGGCCGGTGGACACGGCCCCGGGGGGGTGGGGGGGGCGGGCAGGAGACCTGCCCCGTGGCTCCCCGCCATTCGCGGTGTGTCCCGTGTCCGCTCCTTGTCCAGGGCCTGGCTGGTCACACCGCATGCCCAGCACTCCATCCACTGGGTCCTGGGTCTGGGTCGGTGCCCACGCCCCGTCCACTGTCACCCAGTGGTCTGTGTGCTGTAGCTGCATCCTGCAGACCTCCCGCGGGGGCCGGCCTGGTGCCGCTCGGGGCCTGGTCCTGCCAGGGAGGGTCTCCTCTCGGCCCCTTTAATGCCCCCCGTGTAACTCCGTGCTCCTGATGGCCCCGGGTTGCCAACCTGAGGCCAGGTCTCTGTTGTCATCGCCGCGGAGCCCTGAGGGTTTCCCACCCAGCAGGCCCTCCTTAGGCCCCCCACCCCCCCTGTGGGCATCATGTGCCCAGGGACCCCCCCCCCCCGTGTCCGCGCACAACACCTTCCAGCCGCCTGAGTCCCTGCTTCTCTTACTGCTCACCCTTCCCCCTGGGGGGGGGGGGGCTCCTGCCTCCCCCCACTTCCCGCTCAGGAGCAGCCCGCCCACGGCACAGCCACCGCCCCAGGTGCTGCCTGTTCATCCCAGGTGCAGGTGACTTGCTTCGTTTTCTTGGACCGCCCCACCCCCTTGAAGGAGAGCCAGGATTTCTGTTTATACCGTCAGGCCCAGGCCTGCAGCACCAGAGCCAGTCTCAGGGCAAACCCCCACCCCCCCCCAGGAGGGTCACACTGGATGGTGTGTTCTGGACGGTGGTGTCTGAGCTGGCGCTTCACCAGGCAGAAAGCTCAGCCAGGACTGACGCCCAGGTCTTGTGAACAGGGATGGGGGGCACTGGGGGCACAGCTGCCCGGGACGGCCCAGGCTTCCAGCACTTTGACAGGGCGGGGGGCGGAGGGCGGGCAGCTTAGAGCCCCGCAGGGCGTCTGGCCTGGGAGCCTCCAGCCGCTGGGGTCACTGGTTCGGAAAACTCTGGCCTGAGATTTCTGTTCAGTGAGGTGTCTGGTTGCCCCTTTTGTGTAAGTTTTGGTTTTCAAAACAGCACCGTGACCTTCATGGAAAGTTCGGAGAGTAGAGAAAACAGTAGGGGTCGCTGTGGTTTGTGTAACTTACTTCCCCATGGGGCTCTCACCTTTCTTTCTAGAAGGAAGCAGTTTCCCTTTGCCACACTGTCAAGCGCTCAGGCCTTATGGGTGGGCTGGCAGATGCCAGGCATTCCTGGACTTCTCGAGGGCGCGCCTCCGGGCTGAGTCCTTCAAGCGCGTGGGGTCGGTTTTCCTGGCGCAGGTTCGGGTTCACAGCCTCACCAACCCCTCTTCCCCCGCCCCCCCGCTTGCAGATCGCGCCCCCTCCCTCCCTGGCAGAGCCCCTGAAGGAGCTCTTCAAGCAGCAGGAGGCCGTGAGGGGGAAGCTGCGCCTGCAGCACAGCATCGAGCGGGTAAGTGGGGGCGCGGGCGCGGGGCGGTGGGCGCGGGGCGTCTGTCCTCGCGAGGCCTGCTCAGCCGCCTCCTCTCCTGCAGGAGAAGCTCATTGTCTCCTGCGAGCAGGAGATCCTGCGAGTCCACTGCCGGGCGGCGAGGACCATCGCGAACCAGGCGGTGCCGTTCAGCGCCTGCACCATGCTGCTGGACTCCGAGGTCTACAACATGCCTCTGGAAAGTCAGGTGCGTGGCCTGCCGGGCCCCGGGGAGCCAGCGAGTTCGCCAGTCCGCGCCAGGGCACGGGAAGGCGGTGGCCACGTGGCGGGACATCAGCGCCGTGTCCAGGGTCCTCGCGGTCACTGAGAGTTACTTAAATGAGAGGATGAGTGGTATCCAGGCGACTTCCCGTGGAGGCCCCGCCAGGAAGCTGTCGCGCAGCGCACGGGGGCAGAGCAGCTCCCGGGGTTGAGTCCATGGTCCCTCCATGGTCCCTCCGCCTCTGCTGCCCCGCCCCCACGCACTCAGGCCTGGGTCACACTCCGTCAGGGGCCGACTCTCTGATGTGTTCTCTTCCCAGCCGCCACCAGGGCTTTTTAAAGACGACCGAACCCCGAACGTATCATTTTGGGCCTGTCCAGACATGCTGCTGTCCCCTGGGGCTCCAGGCAGCATCCCCAGTGGGGCCGCGTGCAGACATGGGTGCTTCTGGATTTTTGAAAACTCTTTACTTCTGCATGAAGGATTTTGCGTTCACTTACATACATGGTCTTTAGATCTCAGAAACTTTCCTCACTAGGAGTGCGTGGGGTCATGAGTTTGAGCCTGCGTTGGGCATGGAGCCTACATAAAATTTTTTTTAAAAATTTTAATGTTTATTATTACAGAGACGGAGAAACACAGCAGGAGTGGGGGGAGGGAGAGAGGGAGACACAGAATCCAAAACAGGCTCCAGGCTCCGAGCTGTCAGCACAGAGCCCGATGCGGGGCTCGAACCCACGAACCGTGAGATCATGACCTGAGCCTCAGTCGGTTGGGCATCCAACGTCAGCTCAGGTCATGATCTCATAGTGGGTTCAAGACCCGCGTCAGGCTGTGCGCTAACAGCCCGGAGCCTGTTTCAGATTCTGTGTCTCTCCCGCCCCCGACACCCCACTCTCTAAATAATGAATACAGGCCAAAAAAAACTTGTTCAGCTTTCGCAATTTATCACATGAGGAGTAAGGAGTAAGGACAAGATTTGTGTAGAGCAAAACAACAGTGCACAGAGTATCAGAGGGGCTGGGGCCTGAATGATCGCCGCAGGGACTTTCTGCCTTTAAAAGAAACGCGGCATCTGGAGGAGCGTCCGGGCTGCGGCTGAGCACGAGGGCAGAGGCCTTTGAGCTGCAGCCTCTACCCTCCCGGGCGGCCTGCGTGGGGGCCTGTGCCCAGCTCCCAGGGGCCTCGCCAGACACACCTTGACGCACGATGGCCTCCCGGAAAACCCAGATGGCGGGCGGTCGAAACCACCAGCCACCGGCCTCCGTCCTGAGGCTTTCCCTGCTCGCGAGCCCGTCCGTGGGTGCGGGGCTGCTGTGCGTGGGGCAGGGACGCCGGGGTGGCACCCCCACCCCCTCAGGCCTCTGCCAAGAAAGTTACAAGCAGATTAAGACACGCCCCTGCCAGCCTCCCCGGGAACGGGGTGGGGGCCAGGGACCGAGGCCACCCGTTTGTGCTGGGGACACGCCAGCAAGGCTCGAGGAGGGGCAGCGGGGGGCGGTCACGGCCGGGGCTCCTCCCCACCCAGCGTCCACGGCTCTCTCCCTCAGGGCGACGAGAACAAGTCGGTGCGCGACCGCTTCAACGCGCGCCAGTTCATCTCCTGGCTCCAGGACGTGGACGACAAGTATGACCGCATGAAGGTGAGGCGCCCGGGCGGCTGCGGCGGGAGCGGGGGGGCAGCTGCTGCCGAGTCCCCTGTTTGCAAGTGACAGTGTCAGACTCTGTGAACCCAGCTGATAGAGGTCTCCCCGCCCCCATGTTGCCTCCTTAGAGTGTCTTCCCTCCTGTCCAGGTGTGCGGGGAGCAGCTCCTGTCACCAGCTGGCGGTCAGACCTCTGTGGGACCCCACCTTGAGCCCTCCTCAAAGGTCACAGCACACACCCGCCACCACTGCTCTGGACGTGCTGACCAGTGCAGCAGCGGGCAGCGTGGGGGGGGCGGGGCTAGAGAAAGATTAGCAAGTAGAAGCAAACCCCCACCCGCAGGCGTAGGGTCGCCCACGGGGTCACCCAGCAGCCCTGGGGGGGGAGGGAGGGATCCAGAGCTCCCACCCCCGCCCCGGGGCCCGCTCGCGGAGAGGAGGATGGGGCTTCCGGGGTGCCAGCCTTACCGGCGCCCCCTCGCTCGTTAGCGCACGCGGGGAGGTGCTGGCGCGGAGAGGAGCCCACGTGGTGTGCACGGTCCCGGCTGGTCCCCGGGAGGCTCCCAGAGGGTGGCGCACGAAGTCGCGGCAGCAGGGGCGGAGGGGCAGCTTTCCTAGAGCAGGACCGGGGAGTCGCGACATTACTTACCACGATGTCGTGCAGTAGAAACGCCTCGCGAGCCCCATGCCCTGAACGTGCAGAGAACTTACAAAAACAGTTAAGAGAAAAGGTGGGTCGAAAGAGGAGCGAAGTAGGTCGAGTCTGCAGAGCTTAGAGACGCGGCCGCCGGGAGGTCCGCAGACCTGGGCCTGCTCCCCTCGGCACACCCGACGGCCTTAGGGAGACTCCCACGCGGGCTTCGCCCCGTCAAGGCCTGAGCGAGACCTGTGGCGGCACTGCCGCGTCCGCGCCCCCCCCCCCCCCCCCCCCCCCCCCCCCCCCCCCCCCCTGCGCCCACTCTCTCTCACCTTTGCACCCCGGCTGCGGAGCGGACACGGCACTGCCCGCAGGAGCCGGCGGCCGGCGCCCACGCGTGCCAACCGCTCCCAGCCTTGGTGACAGGTCACCGGCCGTACACGAGTGCAGAGTGACACTGTCCGATTCCGCTGCGACGCCTGGGGGTGGGCCGGGCCGCACGACTCCCGGGGTGGGGCGCGGGGTGGCGGGAGGCTGGGGACCGGGGTCTCGCCTCGGCGCGCCTCACCTGTCACGTTTCCCGCACAGACGTGTCTCCTGATGCGACAGCAGCACGAGGCGGCGGCCCTGAACGCCGTGCAGAGGATGGAGTGGCAGCTGAAGGTGCAGGAGCTGGACCCCGCCGGGCACAAGTCCCTGTGCGTCAACGAGGTGCCCTCCTTCTACGTGCCCATGGTCGACGTCAACGACGACTTCGTGCTCCTGCCCGCCTGACACCCACGGACGGCCGCACGCGACACAGGCGAGGGCCGCGCGCGTCCGCCGGCGCCGCTGCCGCGTCCAGGCAGCGCAGGGAGACCTTGTCCCTCGGGCCGGGCCGTCCAGGGAGAGACGCCGCCCTTGGCCCCCCCGCGCCCCGGGAGCGAGGCTCGCTCGTGCCAGCTGCCGCCGCGGGAGGACGAGGCGCCGGCTGCGCGGGCATTTCAGGAGCTGCGGAGCGGAGTGTATTTTTTACAATTTCTTGTTCCATTCTGATCAACTAAAAGAAAGAGAACTCAGGCGTCCACCCCTCACGGACAGTGACCTCCGGGTCCGACGGGCTGGGACGCCATGGCCGCCGCGGAAGGACGCGGAGCCGGGACTCGGGTTGTGTTTTTAATGGAGTCAAATCCACGTGGTTTGTATATTTTTTCCTTTAATCTTGGGCATTTTGTTTCTCTTTCTGAGAACATAACTTGAAACACTACAGAGCCAATAATCATATAAAAAGTGTACCCGTAAACGCTGTACAGTTTTATACACATTCACAATGTACTTTTGCTGCCTTCTAGATAATTTATTTTGCAACACATTACTGCACAGTTGTAAATAACTTATGTACTGTAACATCACTTCAGTTACGTGTAAAGAAATAAATAAATTAATTAAATGCTCTTTGTACACGACAGGCCCTCTCCGGGAGGGGCCGGCACGGGGGCTGCCCCGCCGCCAAGCCACACCGTCTGCTGCTTCGTGGCTCCCCACTTACCACCTTTTAATTGCTGCTGGGGGGGCTGGGGGGCCCTGTGCTCTGCACGTCCTGCCCCCCCCCCCCGCCCCGAAGGAAACCAGACTCACTCGCTGCTGGGGCTGCAGGGTGAACCGCGGGGAGGCCAGGGGTGGGAGGCAGGAGTCGCCGGGTGCAGAGCAGCCTGAGCGTGCACCCCACGCCCCTCTCGGAGGAGACGCCACGGGTCCGGGCAGCGGGCCGCGGGGCCACCTTCTCCCCGCACCGCGAGGCGCCTCGCCGGGCCTCTCCTCTGCGTCCTGTACCCTGAGCCACAGGAGGACCCCACACGGGAGTCAGCACCCAGCTCCGCACCCCTGCGGCCCGGCCCTCGCGGGGCCCTCGCGTGGGGGCGGGGGGTGAGGGCGCCCTCTGACTCTTAGGTGTTTCCTCTGGGCCGCCCCCCCCCCCCCGCGTGTGCCTTCTTGGGGAGCAGAGAGGGCAGCAAAGCCCCAACACTCTGGGCATCACCTAGGTTCCCAGTCACCGTCCCCGTAGCCCGGCGCCCACGCGCAGCTTCAGGCCCTGGACCTGCTGGCGCGGCGAGTGCGTGGGCGGAGGTGAGCCCCGCCTCCCCCAGAACATTCTAAGTGACTTGTGAGAACAGACGCTGGACGCCCGCGGGGCCGCGCCAGGGGCTGCACCCGTGGGTGGGTGCGCGGCCCCCGGAGGGGCTCTGGCTTCAGCGGGAGGGAGGCGGCGCTGCCCCCGGGAGGGGGGGGGGGGCTGGGTGCGGACTCCCCGCCAGCGACCGGGGCCACCGCCCTGCAATGCTGGGCCTCTGCAGGCCCTTCTCCGTCTTCCGTCCCCGGAGCCTCTCGGAAGCCGACAAGCGAGGCAGCGCTACGTGGGGGCCCCTCCCCACCCTGTGCCGCGGGCCGCGGGGGGGGGGGGAGCCGCCCCGGCTGAGAGGGAACGTCCTTCTCCCGCCCGCACAAGGGGCGCTGACGCAGGCCTACGACTCGGAGCAGGTGAGGTTTTCAGGAAAGGCCGAGAGCAGGCTTCCTCCCCCCCGGAGCTGCGGGGAGGAACATTCTAGAAGTACGGAGGCCGTGTGCAGGCCCGGCCACTGACCAGGTGACAGCGCGTGTCCAGGCCCGGCGCCAGGCGGCCGCGAGGGGACAGCGTCTCCGTGACTCGCTGTGCGAACTGACCGCAGCCTGCGGCCGAGTGAGGAGCGGAGGGCCGGGAAGACGGGGTTCCCGGCCCAGCACGGGGGCCCCTACCAGCCCGCTGCCCCCGCCCCCGAACAGAGGGACGAGGGGCAGCGCCTCCCGATGGGGAACGTACGACACGGGCACGTGGGACGGGAGCGGGGACCGGTCCAGGAGCCCATTTCGGGGGGCGACGGGGAACCGGACCTGCAGGGAGGGGCTCCCTCCCTCTTCCGGACACGACAAACCCGCTTCCGGGCACGCGACCCGGAGAAACCCACGCGCACAAACAACATCGCTTAGGAGCAGACGTACCAGGGGCGCCCGGGGGCTCGGTCGGTTCAGCGTCCGACTCTGGCTCCGGCCACGGTCTTGCCGCTCGTGGGTTCGAGCCCCGCGTCGGGCTCTGTGCCGCCGGTGCAAAGCCTGCTGGGACTCCGTCTGCCGCTCCCCGCCCCTCCCCCGCCGGTGCGCGCGCACGGTCTCGCTCTCCCTCAAAAACAAACATAAGAACAAAAGTACCTGAATTATTTGTAGGAAGAAGAGAGTAAACCGCCGTGTACACAGCGGGCGTCACCCCCGGCTCTGCTGACCTGGGGCCCCCAGAGCCTTGCAACACTTTCCCTGCACCTTGCGGGGCGCGGAGCGGCACGCGCGGCGCCCACGTCATGACGCCGGCACGTCGCAGCCTCGCACGTGCTCGGGGAGGGGCGGGTCACGCCCTCGGGGGCCGCCAGGCAGCGAGGAAGGTGCGCGCGCACACACGTCCTCCCGCGACGTCCGCCAGCCGGAGAGCAGAGCGCGCATGCGCGGCCCGCGGAGGCCCCAGGGTGCGCGCTGCCGGCTCGGCGGGGCCTTTGTCAGGACTCACTCGCCAGTAAGTGTGTTCTTGGCGGCTTTGGTTCGATTTCACAGGTAGAAAGAAATTCTGCATTCCGCCAAGAAGCCGGGATATTTAAGAACACATTTTAGAAAATAGGGGGGAAGGTGCCGAGTGAAAATGGCAGTCAGCCCTTCGCCTTCAGGCAAACCCCCAAATTAGGGCAGAAGGTGACAAATTCAAGGTAGTCCCGGTACCGAGAGCATGTTTGTCACAGATCAGAATGTCAGAGATGGAAAAGAGAAAACAGGGCAAAATTCATTCATTGGATGGAAAATGAAGCAGGGCTTCCAGAATAGTAAAGACCTTCAAAGACCCCCCGTAAGAGCCCGGGGGGGGGGGGGGGGG